ACTTTCAGTTTTTTTTCAAGGGATTTGCTTATCTGAGATTTCTGGTAATTGCTTTCACGGATTTTTTTCTTGTTTTCCCTTATTTCTTTTTAAAATAGAAAGGGCTCATATTAAAATATTTCATTCAAAACTGCATCAAGCCCCAATTTAACTAAGTGTCCTTTAAATTCCACATACTAAAAATGAAAGATTATATGCATGAAAAGAGTCACACATTAATTCAGTTTTTTCAATCCTGCAGAGACTAGTACTTGCAGATAGAGGAACTAAGATAAGGGTAACGTTCAGGTGGATTTAATTGGTTTTATTTTATTAAGTGTTGAAAGGGTAATGATACCAGTCAGTGACTGCCAATCTGTTGTGCATTAGCTATACATTTTAGGAATTTGTCCAGGGAAGGAAAATTTTAAAAGACATCATTTTTCCTTGCCTTTTTCTAATGTTGGTTTCCAGCAAGATGGGACAACAGCTGAATTACGGAGAGTGGATTTCTGGGTTCTGTTTTCTGCTTCTCAGATTGCTTGTGCTTTATGCTAAGGAAATACACTGAGAGAAGTAACCTTCTCTACAAATCACTGCAACTGCAGATAGCCTATTAAGGAGATAATTAATCCCAAAATTAATTTGCAAGTAAATTTGTCTTCGTAGATCACTTTGTAGAGCGCAGGATATTAAAACAGATACAGAAAAAGTCATAGTGCACATAAGTGTAAGAGAAATAAATGAATAAAATGTTGACTTTTGCAAATTTTCTAGCACAATGAATACATATTCACTTTAACATGAAAAGCCAGGCAACATAATCTATTTAAAACACAGCTATAGGCCCAGATTGCAGAGTACTTAGCTCTAAATAACTAATCAGTTCCTTTCAATTCAATGGGGCAAGTTTGTGTATATGAGTAAGTGTTTACAAGATCAGTGCCAAAGTTAAAAATAATCCAGTAAATGGGTACTTTATCATAGGATAGATCCCTTTTTCATTTAATTATATTATAGTAGTAATACCATTGACTTCACTTTAAAAAAAAAAAAAAGGATTAAATTTTCATAGTTTTTAAAGACAAGAATTGATCTACTGTAAACAAATGTAAAAGACTACAGAGTCCTGTCATGCATTTGGTGCTACTAGTGTTTTGGTATTTTGGATGACAGACTATTACATTTATCCTTATAAGACTTCTAGATGACACTAAATTGGAGATACTGCAACTGCTCTGAAGGAAACAGACTTCGAATTGATCTGAGCAAAATGGAGAAAGTGTCTTTAATCAAGAGCATCATGTTAGTTAAAGACAAGTACAACATATATTTAGACAGGAAAAAGCAAATGCATAGTATAGTAATACTGGTTAAAATAACATGGGGTTTGTAGTGGGCTACAGATTGAATTAATAATACTTTACTGTTGGAAAAAAAAGATATAATTGCAGGAGGTATTAAATAGGGTATCATACATATGGCACATAACTGCTCCACTTTTATACAACTAATAGTTCCACTTGTTGCACTAATAAAGTCTTAGCTGGAGCACTCTGTTTAACTTGGAACATTAGACTTGAAGAAAGATGTATATGAACTGGAAGAAGTCTCACTACAGTAATTCCTGATCTGGAAACAAGACAGGAGAAGATCTGTAATAACAGTCTTTAAATTGATTGCTTTTCACACATGGAGAACAACTGATAAATACCTTAATTATACTTTAGAATAAATATTATTAAATTAAAAATGTATATATTAATTTTGCAGAAATAAAGATTTAGATAGATCTTGGGGGAGTTAGAAGCATTCAGATTATGAAGACAGTAAAAATTGTAAAAGGATACAGAGAAATGCTGCAGCATTCCCTATTATTAAGCATTTTAAAAACAGGTTGGATAAACATTTGCCATGGGAAACCTATGTATGTTTGACTGTAAATGGGTCCAAATAACCTCCCAAGGTGCCTTTCAGCTGTATACTGCTGCAGTTCTAAAAAGGAGTTTGATTCAGACTTAATCTCCATAAACAAATTAATGTGATTTACAACTAGTAGAATTTATAGATGCACTTTCCTGGTCTTACCTGGTGCTGAACATTGATCTAGTTCTTACATTTCAATGCCACACACATAAGATAATCATTTCTAATTAGTTATGGACTCTGTTCCAAACCTGCTGTTCATATACACATGAGATCCAAAAGATAGATTTAACACAGTAGGCTGGGGGCTATCCAAACTGGAGAGAAAGTGTTCCTGAAAGATTAAGGAACAAAATATGACTTTTTCCCCTACTTAAATCTAGCAACAAGACTGCACTGGGCAGATGACCCAGGTGAACCTGTCTCCTTGTATCCAACAAAAAAATAGTCGCAAAACAAAGGGAGTCAGTCAAGAAATGTTTGATCCCTGGGCCCCAAATCCTGCAATGACCTATAGAGCTGCAGTTTGATAACAGGAATTCCATCATCTACTCTGTACTCTAAAATGTCCTCGTTTATACAGGTTTCATAAAAGAAAGGATTATTATAGCTCAAGAGCTCAGTCCAGTGAACACAAGATAATGCCTGCTGCTAGCAGTGCATTACTTCTGAAGGCTCTTTTCCTCTACAGAATTATAGCACTATATGCTGGCCCACCCATTATAACAGCAAAAAGTGATTTTATAGTATTACAAGCAAACTGAAAACACCAGCGCTAACAGGATTTTAAGAATTTGTAATCAGGTTAAAATTAGAAAATAAAAACTAACATTTCCTTTAACTGAACTACTTCTTAACAATAACCTTCAATTAGGCTATTTTGCTATTTTTTGTTTTATTCTGCTCATATGTCTCTGTTTAATAAAAAAAAAAACACGGAATATCACTAATTAGGCAGATATTCAGTATTTAATTTGATCATTTAGTGGTTTAGAACAAGAAATTTTGTTATATTGTATTCCAAAAACTCTACTAAGGTACTGTGCTTTACAAACATAAATAAACCAATTCACACAACAAGGTGTGAGTTGAGCAGTAACATGCTATGCCTGCTATGAAGAAACAGCAAAGGTACAGAAAGGATTAAGATAAAATAGTAATCTTGAGGAACCTTATTTATGTGCAGAAGAGCTAGGATTATTACATAACATTAGCTGAATGCGTGCTTAGGCCTGTTCTAAATCTAGACCCAAACACTGAGTGCAGTGAAAAATTAAGACACACTTAGAGCCAGCTGTGAAAAGTATAGCTTAAGCACAAAATAATTGCTTTTTTTTTTTTTATTAAACAAACCAAGCAGAAAACCAGAAACTCTATCACGTGTTGGAGCCTTTAAGATCAATATAAACTTCTGCTACCTGAGCAAAATGGTGACATGCAACAGTGATAATTTTTCATCTTTTGCATGGGCCAACTACTATTTTTATTTAGCTATAGCAGGTCAGACATCTGATGTTTGAATGGTCAACCTAAAGTCTCCTGGGTTCAGCAACAGATAATACAGGACGGGCTGTTTCACCCTCTAGCCTAATGTGTTTTATTCCTTTCCCTCTAGTTTTTCCCCCAGTCTTTTTCCTTCGTTACTCAGATTGTGTGTCAGTCTGCCCAGAACGATCCTCCTTAGAGGCAGCTGGAAGTGTTTGATGATAAATTCTTCTTGATTTGGAGCAGAAGCTACCACATCCTGCGTATTTTTGCCAGTAAGCTAGAAAGTCAGTCCTTTCCCTCCTATTCTAGCAAATACATGTACACACATACACCCACATAGACATACATAACTATACATATACTCACACACGTGTAACAGATCCAGTGATGTGATGCTACATACTCAGATGTGGAAATCCTGGGTTTCAGTACTTTCTAAATCATATAGAATAGGCATGATATAAATCCATCTCAGGCAAACCTCCTAATCAGCAGGCTATTCCCCACTTTGGGATGTAGGCCCCTCTCTCTGGTTTGTAAAATTAAATACACATGCAAAATTATAATATATCAGACATTTATCCCAACTTTGAAGAGTGAAAAGATCTTTAAGTTTGAAACTGTTTCTGACCCATTTTTAGAGTTTACCCTTTGCATTTAACTCAGGCTATTTCTTCTTGTTCATGGTATTTAGGGATGAGCAGTGAAGGCAATGAGAGACAAGGCGAGTGTCTTCCTGTTTTGTTGTATAATTCATGCAGTATGATCTCAGAATACAAGGAACGGTAATCAAAGAAAAGTAAGGCAGCAGGGATCCCAAGCTGCGTAAAAGCATGGCTTCATCATGCACTTGGAGATGTATTTGAGAAAAGTTTTCTGTGTTCTGTGACACAGAAAAGAGCTGAATGAAAACGGTACAGGCTCACTGCAGATGAGTTTGAGAGAACAGCAGTGCCCAGTTCTAATAAAATTCTGCTTCATCAAACAGAAAAAGGAATTTTCAAGAGCTTTCAACCCAGTGAAATTTGGGTGTTTTTTCACAACAATGCCCAAATGTTCACTCCGACAAACCGTAAACTTCCTGATGCATGTCAAGTCTCTAATTCAAAGCAAAGGACTATGTCTTCTTGAATAAATTATTATAGGAACATTTTAATCTAATGAAGAAATTTCTCTTAATTTGTTCACAAAAAATCTGAACTACTTTCACTAAAGTGTTACGAATAATCTAACTTTAGCCACATGTCAGATGTCGAAAATTTAACCTACACATGGGTAAAGTGGGGCAACTGGGAAAATTGTTTTAGAATGGGAAGTAATGGCAATCTCAAGTATAGGCCTCTCTTCAAACGGGAAATAGTCCATAACACCTCAGTTTTATTCTGAACTTAATATTAATCAACACAAAAAATTTTACTTACTTATAACTCAAGGAATCTAACAATACTCCTTCAGATACTTTCTGTTAGAAATTAAACAGAGAAAACTACATAAAAAACCCTCACACATATCACTTTACAAACTGAAAATAAACGAGGCTAGCAGAAGAATAATTACCTGCAAAAAAAAAAAAATAGTGATAAACTAAGATAAAAGTACAAATATACCTTGTCCTTGAGGAACTCCATAAAATTCAGCAGCTATCCTTGCTGCTTCCTTTCGGTTCCCTTTTACAATGTAGAAATGACTAAGTATAGCAAGGCTGATCTTCACAAAAAGTTTAAAACAAAAAAGGGAAAGTATAGTAAAGTAGACATTGGATAGCTGCTGAGCAAAAGGGCGACTTTCTTCTATGACAGTCATTGCTGCAGCAAAATCTCTCTCAGTGTTTGGGTAGGGCTCTCAAATGTGTTGATAAGATCATATGGCTCCAGCCACGCACTCTTGGGAACAACTGGTCCTGAGGAAAGAAAATATCAGCTGGTCATGATGCTTGCTGCTCAAAATATGAGGATTATTTATACTGTACATAGTATTGAGTTCACTACCGCTCCTGCTAGCCTGGTGATATTCAAGTGAGACAGAACATAACAGACACAGATTCTAAGATAAGTTCTCCTGCTTCTAAAGTATAATTGTTCTTTTATGCTCCCTCCGTTTATGGTAGACTTTTTTTATTATTATTATAGAGACAGAACCGAACCACATCAGTAAATACTTGAAATATACATTAATGAAGAAACATAGATTTAAAATATACCAGCTTTGACAGTTTCTTGTTATTTCATTCAGGCTGCATGAAAGTACCTAGTATACATAGCTTACCCTGTTATACAAAAAGCAATACTCAGAACAGATGATAAGAATCAAATTTCAAAATACTTTTGGAAATCTCAGAAAATTAAAATTAACCAATAAAGGCACTGGTAGATATAAAACAAGGAAAATCTCTAATGCTTATGATATACATTTCATTGTGCTGCATCCCATTATTTTAAACCTACGACGTGACAGGCTTTTTTTCTCGGCAAGTTTTGGAGAATGGAATCTATGTTTTTTTTTTTTTTAAAGAAAAAATTGCTTATAAGCCATAAGCTAATTACTCATAGTTATCAGCAGTTACTCACAAGTAGTTCCAGTAGTGTGAGTAATTGCTAGTGAGTAAATAACGGGGTCACAACATGACACAAACTGAAGAGCCACAGGACAGAACTGTACTCCTAAATAAGCTGTAACCCTAAAATAAAGAACTGCCGCAGTACAGCTAAGGATTCTGTTACCTTTTAAATAAAAAAGTACTAGTATCTTTAATTGTAGTTTAAAATACTTTACCCATAGCAATCTTAAATTGAAACACCCTTTCTGCTCTACCCAGAGCATAGATGTTGTTTGATGATCAAAAAAACCCATTTTAGAAGGCTGGCAATAGTCCATCAGGAACAGAGTGTATGATCCAAATGTCACAGCATCCAAAGATCCCCCCTGACTCCAATGAACAGAATATCAAACCTACAAATTCATATTTTTAAAGAAGTGGCAAAATGAAGATTCTCTTATGACCAGGCTCCAGGAGAGATTTACTGGAGTAAAAAACGATGTTTTCTGAAAACTATGTCCAAATAAACCTATGTGAATGAAGAAAGGGCACTGGTGGAAGAGAAAGGAAATGGGCTTGAGAATAAATATCATGATTTTTAACAGATGGGAACTAAGTTATGCTCATCTTGAGAGGCAGACATTTAGTCTTTTTCCTTGAAAACAAAAAAAACCCACACAAAAGTCAAAATAACAACTAGAAAGGCAGTAAGAAAACAGTTTAAAGTGTAAACTCTATCAGTCAGAGAAAAAAAATCATTTTCTTCTAAATTTATATTTAGGAGAAATTTAAATTTATAGACATTTTCTCATCCAGCTAGAATAGGAACTGCTCTCCTCATACCATAGTTAGAAGTAGGACGGAGTACTTAAAATGCCAAACGAAAATCCCTTTTTATATTTGGCACATTGTTATCTGACACTGAATTGAGGTGTCATGTTTTCCATAAGGATAAATAGGCATTATGTTCTGAGCTAGCACTGCCAATTTCCGTTTCAATCATTAATAGAAATGATATTTTCCTTAGTAACACATCCAGTACCTGGCATTTCATACTACTTCCAAATTTCTACTGGCATTATTAAGCTTAATTCAGTCCCCAGAATTCCCCAGCCATCTGAAGTACCTCTGTTTTGCAAATGTACCACACAGAATAAAGAAGAATCGTAATTACCTGATAGAAAAACTTATCTCTCTTTGTAGCATTTTTCACTTTACACCATATGACTTCATACAATAAGTGATCTTCATCACCTATACTTCTCCCACAGTTTGTTAATTAACAGAACAGTCTCTTTTTGTAGAGGTAAAATTCAAATAAAAATTACTATACATAATAGATGGAGTTAATAGCAGCAGTCAAAGTTAACCTTTTCATTACAATACTGTTTCCTCTTTCTTATAACTGCAGTAGACAAAATGCTGGGCTGAAATTTTTCAATTGTTAGGTGTCTTCTTCAGGTTGAATTTTTCTGTAAAGTAACAATAAAAATAATAAAAACCCTTTCTAAAATAAGGCTGTGGATGCATACAATATTTTGTTAAATGATCATTCCACTATTAGAAACAATATGAAAACTGAGCAGGATGGTTATCCCTGTATTGAAGTTCATCTTCTGTTCCCTCATAAATTTCCCTCCATAGCTATAAACTACACAAAAATGAAAGAAATAAATTATGAGTTTTCAGAATTTCAGCTCAAACATGCTCAAAAGTGGCTGACAAAATTACCCTTTCATTAATACTCCTGTATTCTAGCTCCATTTCTCTCTCTTCTGTGCCATCTTAACTTGAAATGCTCCAGGTGGACAGAACAATTTAATTTATCCTAATTTAAGGCTACTAAGGTTCAGCAAAAGTGGCCATTATAGCGTGTTAGCAAACCCACGCTATTAGGCACTCAGTCACAAAACCAAAATGCGTATTTAGAGGCTAATACTCACACGGCATTTTGGAAGACTCAACAACAGGAATACTGAGACTTGAGCACAAAGTGGTTGAAGGCAGGCCCATGGATATGGAGAGAACAGGAAGAGAAAGCTATAGGTGTTGGAATAGAAATCAGAAAGTAGAAGTGAAAGTAAATACTGACAATCTGAGCTGACAATCAATGCAAAGCTACACAAGAGTATAAATACTGACATGTAAGTGTGCCAAATTTCTATTTGCCCAGCAATGTGAAGCAATAGGATGCTGATCTGCAGCAGTGCTGCAGCAGTGCTGAACACTGACAACTTCCAAATAGAGATATATCATCAATATGTAACAATCTATAAAAACGTTAAAGCACTTGAGAACACCAGACGTTCAATCTGAACGTTCACATTTCCGGAATAGTTTTGACATTTGGGAAAGAAATTTCTCTGTACTTTATTTCCTCACTTGGGAAAAAATGGGATTAATAGGACCACTAAATCTCAACAGTATTCTGAAGATGCCTTCATCGTTGTTAAAAAAAAATGATTAAAATAATACTGAAACTAGTTAGATATTTAATAAATTTGGTTTTAATAAGAAATTTGGATAACAGACTTGTATGAAATGAAATAATCATTCATTTAATGGCTGCAAAAGGGATAGTATGTAAAAATATTTTAACGCTTAAGGTTTTATCCTAATGCATAGGAAAAATGGAACCAAGCTACACTACAGACAAAGAATGTTAAGGTTTCTGTTTTGCTTTATTTTAAGAACATAAAACTGTGCCAGACAAGGTACCTTCTAGCTTGGCATTCTAGCCTACTCCCAGCAAATTAAAACAAGAATGAAGTAGTTATTTCTCTTGTATGCTTTCTCCATTTCTAGCAGTTAACTATTTTGATTTCCAAACTGTTTACAAACTTCAAATGCCAGGCTTTATGGTCTTAACTTACCTCTTAACAGAGCTTGTTGTGATGTCATTTCTAAAAGTATGTTCAAAATAACAATATTGTCATTTATAATGACAATTAAAGTAGTTAATCTGAGGACTACAGTTTGAAATTAACAGAATATCAAAGTAGCTTGCCCTTAAATGCATTTATACGTACGTGCTAGTAAGTGGTCAATAGCAGAAAGGAAGTATTCCAGCAGTGGTACCTGCTTATGCTAACTTGAAGTGTTTGTGAATTTTAGTGTAATTTACCCACAACCTAAGCAAGTAACTTTTGGGAAAAAAATGTATAATCACCCTATCTTGTAATGATTAATAAAATAATCACATTAATGACCTCTTATTTTATTTTGGGAATTTCCTCAGCACTTCAGAAGATTGGTGTGCTTAATTTTCAGTATGGAAAGATGATTGAGGAAAAGAAGAAACAGCTGTTGGCTTCTTTTCCAAGCAAGCAGTCAAGCCCAGTTACTGCTCTTTCTTTATAAAATATGAAGAGAGGAGGTCACAGAAGTACCAGTTCTGTACTAGTATTTTGGGGGAACGGAAAGAGGAAAAGCGGGAGAAAGAGAACACAAACTTTAGTCCAGAAAAGTCCAAGCTTCTCTACTATTTTCTGAGAATAAGAGCAAAACAGTTTAAGGACATCTCTGACAAGAACAAAGAAAGAAACCAGCAAAAGCAAGTAGATGGCTTACGACGTGTACACATACGTGAGTTTGTACAAAGACTTAAGCTGGAAAATTAGTGGAAATGGGGACAGATTAGGGAACAGAAACAGATTTTTAAAAATCTAATATTTTCATATGCCAAAAACTTACAGTATGCCTTTTTCTGGATTCAGTGTCCTGTGTTTTTTCCTCTCTCATCCACTTTAGTCACTGACTGGTTTTACCTTTCTGTCGTATGCAGCATATTACACACTGTCAATACTATGCAATTTATATAAAAATGATTACCATAGATACTACAGTCCCATACCCAGAATAATAAATTGTATCTAAAGATATTAAGAATCTTAGTAGATAATCATACACTGAGAACTCACCTAGCAGCCCTTACATAGGAAAGCAGCATTTAATTTCAAAAGATTGTCACATGCGGCATTTCCTTTATTATTTGCATGTGCCAAAGGTTTTTTTTTGTTTCTTTTGGAGATTTTGTTTTTATTGTGTAACTTGGTTCAGATCTGATTTGCTTTTTCACTGCATCCTGCTGCTATCCTTAAAAACTCTACAGGCTACTCTACAATATGACCAAGTCATATTCTCATCACAAAAACCTGAAAGTTGTATTGCATTGCCAACAGAAGCAAACACCACACTGTAAAATAAAGGCATAGAATGCCTAAATCTCTTTTTTACAGCTTTTCTTCTTCAAGTGCCTTAATGCCACGTCTATCCAGAGTCTATGCATATAATACAGCCTGAAGTTACAACAGATATCCAAAGTCATGTTTCTTTCAGATTTCTGCACTGCTATCATAATTCATGCTAGTCTACTGCTTGCCCAACTACTGACTTTATTAAAGTGTCTTTCAAAATGCAAGGCAATGACATGTTGCCTTAGGTGTCATGTCACAGGGGAAGATCAGGATAAGCTTCATAAAAATGTTACCATCTTCATGCTCTGACTTCTGACACTAATTCTATTGGAGGATTATGTATTCAAACACCATTTCTCTTCTCTCATAAGACTATGAGACACACCAGTTCATTTGAAAAGTTTCAACACAAAAATTCTCATATATAAGTTTTATTATATATATAGTTTCCCTCTGGATTTTGCTATAGATCATTATTTCCACCAGATCTCCAAACTGTTACAGAAAGTCTAAGTTTCTTGCCTTTGAGTGGATACAGTCAATACAGGGAACGGCTTTTTTTTTTCCCCTCCATAGTATTAAACTCAGTAGTCTGTTACAGATTAGGTATTGTGTAAATCAAGTTATTTTACTACTGAAGCACAAGAATGACAACTTTTAGTTTGCAACATAATTAAAAGTTTACTTTTTCTACTACTATCTTGTAATGAATTTAAATTAGTTTTATTCAGCTGTCTTGTCTTTCTCTAACTCCCTGCCTGTTGAAAATACTACTGCTATCTTTGGAAAATAGTTCTGACATAGTCTTGCATATCTGGCTTCCCAGAGAATGGAATTACTGTTCAAGGATTTAAATACCAATCAGTATCTGTAGACATTACAGATGTTCTCTATAACACATGCATTTAAACTCGTAAAACCTACCTCAGATATTTAAGTGATAATGAAATTCCAGTTTTATAACCTTTCTCAGTTCTCTAAAAGAATACACAGCAATTTTAAATCTGTATCACTTCGCTCTATGCCCACTGGATAGCTGCTTGTCACAATGGTGATAGATTCCACCTCAACAACAAGTCTAATAAACAATCCCTGCTATCAGCAACATTATCAGATCAGCATGTTTGATCTGCTTAACAGCTCTATCTAATCACTAACAGTAACGTCCTGTATCTATACTAGAGAACTAAAGCAGTTATAACTGACTTGTTTAGAAATAAAGCCAATCTGAGTTGTGCCAGGAAACTTTACAAGTTTGTCCTAGAATATTTGTTTCAGTCCTATCTGGAGAGTTATCGCAACACAAATAACGAGAGTAACATAGCAGAAGATTCCCCCAAAAAGTCACGTGTGTACTTGGACACATTACTAAAACCAGAACCATGTCAGACAGCAGGCACGCACAGCCTGTTGACAGACAAACTCTAGCAAACCTTGCTGTGCAGGAGTTAAAAAAGTTACCACCTCCAGCTGCCCATTCCATTCCTCTGCTAAAGGTTCTTGCCTTTTTCTTCCTTCCTGGAAATCAACACGAAGGAATACGTGCCTGTGTTCAGCCATTTCACTTCAAAACCTGGCAGTTTAAACCGCTGTTAAGTTTAAGCTAACCTGCTGGACTTTACACTGAAAAATGCTGCAATACATCCTACCACCTTTTTGGCTGCAGAGACAGTAACCTCCAACTAAGTAGTAATAGCAGACCATGAGAGTAATATCAAAACACATATACAAGCTGCATATTAATAGAGATGTTTAGTTGTAATTTATATGGGGTGAAGGGTGTCCTCATTTTGAATCTCTATTCCCTTTGTATAATTCCCTCAACAACAGTTGAGTTGTAGATGGTTTTTGTCACCAATTTGAAGTTTCTTTCATAATTTTTAGGTTTTATTTTGTGTTATGATCTATCTTTTAATTTTAATTGATTTTTCTTTATTACCATTTGTTTCTATTAAAAAAATGAAATTACCTCCTTCCCTTACTTTGTATCTACCACGTTTTCTTCTAGATTAGACAGTAAAAGTGGCTTCATTTGTCTTTTATTTTGTGAAACGTGTATTTTTGGTGCCTACAAATGGTACTAATAAAAGCAAATTACTAAGTCAATTACATGATTTGGTAGGGATGACAGTTAAAAGATTATACTGCAAGCATATGTCAAGGGGTCACTATACGATGACTCCTGTGGCTAGTGTGAATATTCAAAATGTTTTTCCATCCATTAAAATTGGTATCAGTTAAGTGATATCATCATGACAGAACTAGTAAAACATTCTTTTCCTCAAGCTGAGGCATGACAGTCTCTACTTGGTACTTTTACAAGAGACATAAAAATACTTTGTGATGAAGAACTTAGAACTGACTTAGCAAATGAGGTAAAACTAGAGTGAGGTGGATCAATGGCACATGGGCTTCTTGCCACAGAATGCAAAGCACAATGAAGTGTGAAAGCTTCAGCCAAACCAGTGATGTATGAGAGGACTTTACCTTACATGGCTTTGTATGCCATGTAATGGGCAATAGCAAATCTGCCTGGAGCCAAAAACAAACCGTTTTGGGCTTCAAAACATGCTCGGAGTCAGTTTTGCAGCCAAGAATATTTGGTCCCATCTCCAAACCAGCATTCTAATACAAGTGAATAAGATAGCATTATAAAATATAAAGTTAATTCTGAAATCAGAAATTAAAAATTCCCTGACATTTTCTTGCTGGAGAACTAGGAATACAGATGCAAGTGAAAATTTCTGTATGCCATAAATCTAGTATAACTCTAGTACCAACAGCCCTTTACCCAACCTGCTAGGCTCCCTCTTTTCATCAGGATGGGGAAAGGACTATTGCTGCAAATTCCCTTTCAGCCATTAGATGATCCTGTTAGTTTCTGTACTTTTTAGATCTACAGTGAAAAAATGAAGGTAAGAAGGAGGTGAGTGCAGTCCATAAAGACTGCTTCTCTTGGCCCACAGCCTTCCTGCACCAGTTGTAAAACCAACCCACCTAGAGAGGTGCTAAGTGGATGGCGGCTGATGCAACAGAGACAAAAGATTCCCTAAGCAGTTCATGACCACATTTATTCTGATATCTGATGACATTTATTTTAATTCTCATCTGCATAGCCAGAGCTGCCAAAGAGCCTCCATCCGATTGCCTCTTGAAGGGTTATTTCAAGCAGTAATAAAAGGTAAATTCATTAAAGGATGTAGACACTTACGGTAAAATTTAGGAAGCATATATGGGTCCCTAGATCAAAATAAGTTTCCATAAAGTCTTAATCTAACTACCTAAGTGCCAAAGAAGCTACAGGCACCTAAATTTTCACCTGTAAAATTTGAAACTTAAGCCCTGAGGAGGCCAAAGGTGCTGAACTGACGATCTCCCTCTAACCTGGAATTCACAAATCGTGCGCCCCAAAAATCTCAGCCACCTCAAAGGCCTTAGATATCTAAGAGTGTCCTGAGCACTAGACATACTTGTAGTAGAAACAACCCTGACTTCACCAGAAAAGTAAAGAACTCATAGCAATCTTTGTTGAGGGTCAGTGTCAACACTTGCCATTTTATTTATACATACAATTAAAGGAATTACAAACTGGAACATCAGAATAGAACATCTCAACTAAACAAGGCTCAAAACCTCTCTCTCAGAAGACTAATCACGAGCTGCACATTGGGTTTGATCTTGCTGAAGCACTGACACACACACACAAAAAAAAAAAAAACCCACACACATGATTCATAGGTCAGAGGAATACATGAAAATATAGCCTCAAAATGGGATAATCCTGAGAAAGGGCAAAAGAGAGAATTCTAAGTTTCACACTTGCTCCCAGTCCTATTTCCATATTCTGTCCAAATATTTTGTAAAGAAAATTTGAGAAATTTAAGCAAGAAACAGTCTGAGCACTGCCGTGCCTTAGTCACTTTGCTGGTCTGCGTTTGGGTACCGTGCTTGGATATACTGAATACCTTGCATGACTGCAACTTTGAAACGGTCTCCAAAATGCTTCTGGCTCCCCAAGATTCTCTAAATTTGGTTTTGTAATTAGGTTATTTTATCTGCTCAGACGAGCACAAGTTATTTGGCGGACAATGACTTCTGACATTAACTTATTGCCACTATTCTTTACAAAACGAACATTTTTTTTATTTTCACAGAACAATTGGCAACTTACGTGCAAGAATTAGTGTGAATAAGCTTCTTTCTTTCTCCTTCAAAACTGTCTTCCTTTCAAAACTTGACTCTTCTCTTGATTTTGCAAGATTTACCTCAGTCACATAAAGGCTACAGAAGGCTTTTTTGCTCTGAAATAGTAACGAATCAGTCCCTGAACACCCCACACCATTTGAGTTTCCCTGCATACTGTGTTTTTAAGTGTCACCTTATCTAAAGGTTCTTTTAAAATAAATCCAAAAGAACATAACCAACAGCTGTATTTAATCATCTGTCTTAAGAATTAGCTCTTAAGATAGAGCTAACCTGAATCTGGTTAAGGAGCTGACCGTTTTTACTTCAGCCTTGTTCAGGTACTCAACTGCTGCCTTGGAAATTTCACTGCTTTACTCCCACAATTTCTGTCTCATTCAATTAAGTTTTCTCCAGCAGCAGAGTTGTTTAATATCTAACCAAAAACTCTAATTAGCAACTATAAGAACTAAAAGCAAGAGCAAAGGTAACCAAGTTTTTTTTTGCAGATACAAGAGAAAAGCAAATACAGATACAGTTACAGATACTCAGACCAGGTAGAAATGCAGACCATTAGTACTTGCTTTTTTCTTTCTCTTCTGTTCCCCCACCCTTATCTACAAAGATTTCATTTCTTCCCTTAGTCTCAGGGCTGACTCTTGAGTTACAGGGGAGGTAAAGAAACAATACCTGTATTACATATGATATCTTTTTCAGAAGAGACTGACAACTAGCATCTTCTTCCCCTATCCCTTCTGTCTCCATGAAGCCTTCCACCTCAGAGCTCAGCTTCCATTCCTACTCCCAGAATTTAGAGCATTGAAGTCTAAGCCTTGAGAAGAGGAAGTTAAACATAACTGAACTACTGCTGACACCTGTTGTTAGCCCTAAGTACTTTTTCTTGTTAACCAGGCCTAGTGAACACAGTAAAACGTACAAAAAACCACTGTGCAGGCTCTTGGAGGGGGAGGAGGAGGTGTTTCTCACCCATGCTTAGTGTACAGCCTTTTAGAAGGAAGGGGAGAGAAAATTATGTCACATGCTCTTCCTCTCCCCCATCCTCAGACTCATCATATCACGTGTTCTCAGGTTTGTAATGCAGAAGTCCAGGGTGCAGGAAAAGGAGTCAATTCAGGGGCCTGGGAAGATGAGCTGGAAACCACCTTGCTAGATGAGCTAAGTTTTGCTAGCAGCTCTCTGAAATCTTCACCCAATAGAGTGATGGAGTACCTCACCCTGGAAATGGTGTGGGATCACTGAGCCATTTGGTAAAGAAGAAAATTCTGAGGAGAAGCCTATCTACTAAATGAGGTCTCTAGACATGAACAAAGATGCTAAATTATTTACTTATTTAATATGTATGTAACAAAGTGGAAATGAGTATAGATATATAGCTGAACCACCAGGAAATAACATGATGAATGGCAAGGTGTAATACCAGGTAAAGCAAGGCAGACACATCAAGGAAAAAAAAAACAAACAAGCCTTTCCCTCAAATGTTATTTCCATCTTATTATATAGCTATAAATACAAAAATCCACTAGAGATGGAAATAGCAATTTCCCTTGAAAAGCAAATCCCTTGGAAACGCAACAGGTGGCAAACAATTAATTCACAACAAATGCTCAGGTTTGTAACAACCCCTTTTTCTATGCATGAAATAAGATAGGAATATACACTGCAAGTACTAATGACGAGGGCACCAAAAAGCAACCACAAGAAGTTGCTCACACACTGGGCACTTCTCCCAGAGGACATGGCTGCATCCCCATCACACAGTACTCTGCACGGACCTGGCTGCAACTGAGCACTGAGGCTCTTCCCAGAGCCACACGCGACACAGACTGGCAAGCTGTTGTGATGCCCGACTGCTCACCAAAAAGAAAAAAAAAAAAGGGAAGAAAAACCAGCTATACGCTACTGAATGACACGGACACTTATCTTCAAATCCTTTTTCTGCTATAAGCCAGACCTAGCAGTTGACAAAGAAACACACAAAACTACTTTGCAAAAAATCGATCACTCGACACCATATCTGGTAAGAGAGAGGAAAAGAACAGCGCAAACGAAGAGCAGCTTTGCTGTGCGACAGAGAAGAAAGTCAGAGGACACAAAGCTGCCCCTCAAACTCCGAAGGATAAGACGTGTACCGGAGGGTGCGGGGCTCGCAGCAGCACCGCGGCGCCAAAACTAAAGGCTAGCGGGGTGGCGCAGGCAGCCGAGCTCAGGAGAGGAGACGG